GACACATGGTGGCATCATATGAGACTTTTGATTATGTCCCGGGTGGCTTGCTGCCTGAGCAGTTCGTACTAGGTGAGACGAGATCATCGGATTTAGGATCAGTGCAATCTGACTATATGAAGTATATTAAGGAGCTAAGACCATTATTTGGTTCAGAATGAGGTGATGGTTATTGTCAAGAGTATAGACCCAATGATTTGTTGATTCGGCAATCGGTTATGAATTTCTACACATCTCTTCCGTCATGGCGTTATTGTAAGAATTAGAGTAAGACCTATGTAGGTCATGAGGTGCAATGGGAGCATCGGATTCATGGAATTTCGATTCATTTGATCAGAGAATGTTATTGTGGCCCTGTGAGTAAAGTGGTGCAAGTTGTGAATTCAACTAAGGTATGCAGTCATGTTTCAGTGTTGCGTGTAGTTATTGATACGGTGAGCGTATGTTGGAACAAGCCTGGCAGAGAATTCCGGATGTTGGAATTGGGCCTAAGGCTTATTTGCTTGAATAAAAAGAAATATCTTCAGAATTGATCGAGCTAATGTGCTCAACTGAGTTGTGGTAGCACGGGAAGGTGCAGGAGGTGTTAAACTGTGATTTCAGACTACTTCAGCGTTGTTCTCAGCACGTTCGAGGACGAACGTATGTTTAAGTGGGAGAGAATGTAACGACCCGACCGGTCATTTTGAGCTCTAGCGCGTCGTTCAGCAGTCTGAGGTATTATGACTTGTACGCGTGGTCAGAATTGAATTTCAGGAAATTCAGAGTTGATTTGGAAAGGGAATCCTCACTTCGGAAGCTTAAAGTTGAAAGAATTAACTAAGATCGAATTTTTGAGTAAACGACCTCGGAATCAAGATCTGAAGGTTCCAGCAGGTTGGTATGATGATTTCGAACTTGGGCGTATGCCTGGTTCGGGTTTTGGATAACCCGGGAGCATTTTGGCGCCTATTGTGGAAGTTAGCAATTTGGAAGAAATTTCATAAGTTTGGCTTGAAGTGCATTTTAGTGTTATGATGTCCGTTTTGGATTCTGAGTTTGTGAATAGCTCCGTATGGTAATTCTGGAGTTGGGAGCGCGATCGGAAGTGAATTCGGAGGTCCGTAGGTCATTTTGGAGTCATTTGGCTAAAGATAGAAATTTGAAGGTTTTTGAGAAGTTTGACCGGAAGTTGACTTTTTGATATCGGGGTCGAAATCTGATTCCGGAAGTTGGAGTAGGTCCGTAATGTCGAATATGACTTGCGTGCAAAATTTGAGGTCAATCGGACGTGATATGACGGGTTTCGGCATCGAATGTAGAAATTTGAAATTCTAAAGTTCATGAAGCTTGGATTGGAGGTTGATTCGTGGTTTTAGCGTTGTTTGATATGGTTTGAGGCCTCGAGCAAGTTCGTAATGTGTTTTGGGATTGGTTGGTAGGTTTGGTTGAGGTCCCGGGGGCCTCGGGCGTGTTTGAATGCTCAACGGATTGATTCTTGCCTTGTGAGGACTNGATCGCGTGAGAGGGTCTGCGATCGCACAGAGCATGAGTGAGGGAGCTGGAATTTGGCCTATGCGATCGCAGGAAGTGCAACGCGATCGCGAAGGAGGAAGGCTGGGGCTACAGGTTGAAGGCTTATGCGATCGCGGGGTTGAAGTTGCGATCGCATAGTGTGCGTTGGAGGCTGTGGTGCATTTGGCCTGTGCGAATGCGGGAGCTGGCATGCGAACGCATAGAAGGAATTAGGGAGGCAGCATAGTTGGCCTATGCGATCGCGGAGCGTTGTTTGCGATCGCATAGAAGGGTTGCCTGGGCAGTGTTCTTTTAAAATCGGAGTTTGGCTCATTTTCACTTCATTTCTTCCATGGGAGCCGATTTTGGAGCAACTTTGGAGTGCCAATTTCATCACCAAGCATGAGGTAAGTGATTTCTACTGGTTTTGAGTAAATACAAGGTTTATATATGGATTTAGACATGGTAATTTGTAGAAAACTTGGGGTTTGAGGGAAAACCTAGAAAATTGATATTCTTGGAATTTGACCATGATTTTGGGTATGGAATTAAGAGGAAATCATATATTTGAGTTCGTGAGTTCATGGGTAAACTTTATCTTCGAAAAATTTCGAAATCCGGGCACGTGGGCCCGAGGGCAATTTTGTCAACTTTTCGATCGGGGGTTAGGAATTGCTATAAACTGGATTGTAATAAGTCATTGAACATATATTAATGGATTTGCATAATTATTGGCTAGTTTTGGAGCATTTTCCATCGAGTCGAGTCTTCGGAAGGGCGTGGAATGCCGGTCATGGATCTTCGGAGCGAGGTGAGTCTCCTTTCTAACCTTGTAAGAGGGAATTGTCCCCATAGGTGAGTTAATTGGTTATGTGCTCCTATTTGTGGGGGCTACGTACGCACGAGGTGACGAGAGTCCTTGCGTAGCCACTATTATGCTATTGTCCGGGTAGTCTAGGACCCAAAAGTATGCTATACTTGGATTAATTGTAAACTTATTGACAGCTCGAATTGCTTAAGCCACATCGAATTAATAAATAAATTTCAAAAAGGATTAAACTTCTTTTCTTAAATTGTTAAAAGAGAAAGTGGCTTTTATTTGAATAAATATTCCCCGATAAATTCTTCATTGGCTATCTGAACATGTATTTCTATGTGTACCTGCGTCACATGTATGGTTCGCGAGCAGGGTGATTGTTTATTTTATGTTGACCACGTCTCATGGATAGTTCGCGAGCGGGGTAATAAATGCATCTATGGTTCGCGACGTTCGACCCTCGGCAGTGCACAGTTTATTTTCTTTTGGAGCGGGCCGTACGCCTCGGCATGATTTGCACATGCTTGTATTGCTGCCTTGAACTTATTAAAGTTGATATTGCCTCTTCATGACTTGAGAATATTTGGATAAATAATGAAAAGGAATTTTGGAAATTTCCTATATAAGAAAATAATTGTTCACTTGTTTCCTTTTATTGGATTAAAACCATGTTTATAGAAATCCGCAATTTAATGTTTTATTGACATCACATTATTGGATCCTTAGTAAGTGTCGAAGTCGACCATCTCGTCTCTACTTCTTCGAGATTAGGCGGGATACTCATTGGGTACACGTTGTTTTCGTACTCATACTACACTTTTGTGCATTTTTGTTGCACAGGTATATGTAACTCTAGCGGCCTACAGTATATAGCAGCATGGATGATACTGGGACTAGGTGGTTGCATTACTCGAGGTGGCCCACAGCTAGTATAGTCCCTTCCAGTATATTGCATTTACTTTCTGTCCATTTGTATTCCGGGCGGATGTTGTATTGTATTGTTTCTTAGAAATAGCTCATGCATTTGTGACACCGGGTTCTGGGGATGTCTATGGGTTTATTCAGAAACCTTAAAAAAAAGTGGTTAAATGCTTCACTATTTATTCAATGGAATTTATTATGTATTGCTTAAACGTATAAAAGGAGTGGTTTTTGGGAATATTTAAACAAGAATTTAATAAGTAATTCGGTTGGCTTGCCTGACAGCGGTGTCCGGCGCCATCACGACCCATAGTGGATTTTGGGTCGTGACACTATTTTGAGTATGCCCTTATGTTTATTCTGGTTAGCCCATGATGGCCCGTTTGGCCCATTTGCCAATGAGAGTACGATAAGAAAGATATGTATGTTGGTACTCGGTTGAGTAAGGTACCGGGTGCCCGTTGCGGCCCATAGGTTTGGGTCGTGACAGAGCTCGCCTGAAGAACAAGGTTTGCAAGCTCAAGTCTTCTCCAAGTTCAAGTTTATTTCAAGTCCAAGCAGCAGGAGAACCGCCTAAAAAAAGGGTCAACCTTCAGTTTTCTTCAAGTCAAGCAGTAGAAGCCCACCTAAAGAATAGGGTAAACTTTTAGTTTCCTTTCAAGTTCAAGTCAGCAGGAGTCCACCCGAAGAATATGGTTGATTTTTCAGTTTCAGTGGAAGACTCAAGACCGAAGAAGATTCAAGACAAGAGGTAGAAAGGATCTTGTACTTTTTCCTTTTCTTTTGATGTATTTTTATTTTCTATTTTTTATATAATGGCAGGGAAAGTGGATTGGAGCCTCGAATGGTACCTCACTCGACTCTCTCCTCATCTCATCATACTCCATCACTTCATTTACTTTTGAACCGCACGTAATCTGATTCTCTTATAACTTGGGATATGTAGACTGTTCAAAATTAGGGCTCAATCACATTCTCTTTATTTTATTTCTGTTGTCCATAAATAAAGGTCGGGTCAAAAATTGTCTTGTGTCTTTCTTTGTGTGAAAACACTTCATATTTCCACCCAAAGAGGGGCACCTGTAGACACGTAATTTTTAACCCTCCCCAAAATTTTATACCTTTTAGTACTTAGATATTTATTTAGTTCTAATATGAGTATTTTAACTATTTTTACTTTTAGTTATCATAGAAATGAAAACTTCCCAAAATATTTTATTTTATTTTTGCTAATTGATATTTCGTTTTTAGTTATATATAGTTTATCTTACTTCCTTAAAGATCACAAGAAGAGTCATATTTTTGTTTTGCTAAGGCTAAGATGAAAAGCTTAATAAAATATATCTCATTTGGTTTAGTATAATATTTAAGGATTAGATTTTAATAAATAATACCCTTTTTGAGTAATTTTTATTCTATTTAAAATTATTTGAATTATCTTAAGTAGTATCTGACTATTCAACTAAATAATTTAATTACTTTATATTGTGTTTCAAAAGAAAGAAAGAAACAAAAAAACCAAAAAAAAAAGAAAGAAAGAAAGAAACGAGAAGAATTGACAGAAAGAAAAAGAACGAAGCAAATGCAAGAAAGGAAAATTGAAATGGCCCCCGCTTCCCTTTCTTCTTTCTCTCCATCACGTGCCCTTCCTCCTATTTTACTATCTCTTTTTAATTTTGTTTTTCCCTTTTAGCCAATGGAGTGTTGCCACCTCACCCTTCTACACTATTCCTTTCAACAATTTCACTGCACACACTCACTGATTTCTGAGGGGACCACAACCATTTCTTTTGGCACAAGACTTTATTCACATTAGAGAGATAGAGAATAAACAGAGAAGAGAATTGAGGGAGAACGAGACAGCAACGGAGAGGGCACAACTGGGAGGACGTTAAGGATAGATGGCGAGAAAAAGAGCGCAGAAACATCACGCTTCTTCTGCTTTCAATACCAAAATATAGATATGACCGTCTTACTCATAAAACACCATGTAAATTCAGTTTTTTTGATATTTTAATTGTTTCTCCTTCACCGGAGAAGCATTAGCCTTGAACCAAATTCTCCATAACCACCAACCGTAAAGTTCAATCTCTTTCTTCCACTACTCATGCCATTAAACTCCACATATCTGAAATTCATCAACCACTGACCAACAGAGGCTCTTTTTCTTTCTTAAAGTTCAGGTCATCTTTTTGAGCTTCGTTGTTCTCTGGGTTGAGTACGTAGAGTTCAAGTTCGTCGACTAGATTTGAGTTTCTCCGGTGAGGTTCGGTCAGTCCGTTTCCTGTCGAGGTTCGGCCGTGGTCATGTGCATTGTCATGTTTTAAAACAGTCAGTCGCATATATTTAGAGGTCCATTTCCCTTCTCTTAAGCTCTAGATCTTTATTTTATAGATGGTTTTGTATTAGATCGTGATTGAGTTTGAATTAATATGGCAGTGTTAATTAGTATGTGTGTTGTATATTGATTTGTTCTTGTTTAAAATCACGACATCTTTAGATCTTAAAAATCATGAACTTGCTCTATCAATTTGGTTACTCTTCGTTCCATAGGATTTGTCTATATTTGGAGCTTAACTAGTTTGGAAAATTAGAAATTGAGAACTGGTGTGTTGTAAGTAGATTTACAAATTGGTGGGTAAAATTCATTAAAGTGAGATGTTGATAATCGGGTTTGGGTTTGAGGTGAACTAAGGGGTTTAGGCAAAAATCTTATTATTTTATATTAATTCATTTGGGATTCGCTAGAAGCATATTATGCCGATCACATGTAGGTAGGCAAACTTTAGGTCTTTTCTTTTATTTATTCGAGGTGAGAGGTTGTTTCCTTTAGTATATATTCAGGGAAATGCCCCGTAGACTCTGTAAATATTTTTATCAGGGGATGCCCCGAAGTGAATGTAAAAGGACGTCGATGCGACATCATCATGGAGGCATAGTAGGATAATTAGATTTATTTCTATTATTTACCTTTCCTTTAATTATTAGGTAGGGACGACCTTGAACCTCTTTTGTGCTTATTCTTCTTTTGTGCGTGTTCAACCTCAATTAGATTATCTTTAAAGCCGACTAGATCATGTACACAACCATGACCTTCACGGGACTTGGAGCATGCCTAATACATTCTCCTAGAGTCAGATGAACCCCCTTATCTAGAATCTTTGGTGTAAACCAATTTTTGGAGTCGAATGTGTTGTAGAAGGAAAAATTATTTTTTAAAATGGTGACTTGGCACACCAAAACCAAATGTCAGGTGTCGACTCTGAAAAATTCTTTGAAACACAACTTTTGTCACTTTTAAACTTGAAAATCCTTTTGAACTTTAAAAATTACATTATCTTTTTTTTTAAATGGTAAAGTAAAAAAAAGGGTGTGACACATTATAACCAACAACTCCTGGTGCTTTGTCATCTCCAATAGCATAGAGTCCTTCATATATTTTCTGATCAGTGATCTCTGTACATAGGGTCACTTGCTGCATATGTAAGTACAGGTCCCAATATCATCACCTGACTATTCACTGATGGCAAGTAAACTGTAGTAGAGCGCATCAAAGACTTATAGAAAGCAATTACTTCTTCTTGGATCTGGTTATCAGTGAGTTTGTCTCCATAGGCATTAGTCAATTCTGTAATTACTTTTCTTTGTCTTCTTTCCTTCATAACAGCTGAGAAGTACTTAGAGTTTGAATCTCCAAGTCTTATCCATTGCTCTGAATTCTGTTAAAGGATATTTTCCTCTATAAATGGCTATTTTTCCAAACTTTCTAGTAGCATTTTCTCCTCAATTACTAGTTAGTTCACCATAGTAGCACCTGTTCAAATGATCTTGAGTATCTTGTAAGTTATGCCTGATTTGCTCCATCTTAGTTGTTATGCCTCTGAACTCAGCATTATTAAGTTGCTTTAACAACGGTTTTAGTGCCTTCATCTTGTACCAAATATCTTTCATAGGATCTGAATGCAATTGTTCCTTCCAGACTCCTTCAACCAGTGGTAGAAAGTCTTCATGATCAGCCCATACATTGAAAAACTTGAAAGGGATCTTGCCTCTTGGTTCTACTTTTCTCAGAGTGATCACCATGGGTGCATGAGATGAATGGTATTTTATATCCTACTTCTATATGGACAAATGCAAACATCCATTCATCATTCCCAATAGCTCTATCAATCCTTCTATACACTCTATTTGTACCTTGTTGTTTGTTAGACCATGTATAGAATTCCCCCTTCCAAGAAAGTTCACTCAAGTTTAAACATTGCATACAGTTTGAGAAATCCTGGACTTCATTGCTTGTTACTTGATTTCCATATAGTCTATCTTGAGCAGTTAACACTGAGTTAAAATCGCCTCAAATGATCCATGGTTTGGAACTTTATGTTGCTATTGTTTGCAGGTGCAACCATAAAGGTTTCCTCTGATCAATTGTATCGAATCCATAAATGACTGTCATAAGACAGTTCATTGGAATCTTTCTTCCTATTATATTACAGTGCATTGACCGAAAAGTCTGATCTAGCACTGTTATATCATGAAGGTAGGATCCCACAGCATCTATATTCTCCCATTAGGAGCCTGATCATAGTTATATCTAGCTTGCCATCCTAGCACAATCATGTTCGAAATACAATCAGCCTTCTCATTTTTTACTCTAGTTTCTACTAAACCTACTAACTTTATACTATTCTCCTTTATATAGGTACTCAACTGTTATTATTTATATCTTTTGTTGGTACTTCTTATATTCCATACCAACCAAGACATCAGGAAGGGTTGATGGGCCACCTGCAGATGGTGGCTTCAAGTTAGCCATCACAGCTACACTTGAGTGTTTAGTAGGTCCTTGCTTTCCCCGCGTTATCACTGCTTTAACATGTTCATAGGTACCCCATTAATTTCTACTGCATTCTTCCCTTTAGTTAGTTGCTTTTGTTGGCCTTTTATTGTTATATGATCTTCTGCAATGTTCTCACCTTTGTCAGATGTAACCCCATGCTCCTTGCTTGGGATCACTGCCTGCTCTTGGCCATTCCTGATGAAGGAGCTAACACAACTCATGTACTCCTCCATATTTGTTTCACTAGCTGAGATCTCTTTTTTCTGGGCTGATGGTCCTGCTTGACCTCTTCCTTGCCGGTTTTTGCACAATCATGCCCAAGTTTTAAATATTTTTCACAAAAATTTGGTTTCTAATCATATTTAACTGTCTGTTCAAATATTCTGTCTGAGTCATCCATGACTGGCACCTTGTTTGGGAGAGGTTTGGTAACATTCACTTCAATAAGTATTCGAGAAAAAGAAATTCTAGATTGTTTAACAGTGCGCTCATCTGCAAACAGTTAAATTTCTATTATACTTGCAATACGACCAAATTAGTTACTTCCCTAGCAGTTCATTGGGAGCTTAGGAAACCTTACCCACAGTGGAATCTCAGTTAATTCTAAGTCAAAATCAAATTGTGGACTTCATTATTTCATTATCATAGGCCTGTTATTAACTGTGAGAGGTCCAGCACATAGATTTTTCTTCATATCTGCCATGGAATGGAACCTGACTATGAAGTAACCATGATCATGAGAGTATAGATCTGGCATAGTCACAGTATTCCACATTTGATTTATGTATCTATGCATATAGTTATACCTTTGCTTTTCCCCAATCGCATAGATAATTAGGGCACACTTCCATTTCATAGTTTCTGTCTCAAGTTCTGATTCTCGAGCTTAGCTACTAGATTACCTTCTACAAGCTCAGGGGTGATGTAGTTCAGAGCCAAACCATTAGCAGCTGATCTATAGCCAGAGTACTCCAGCCCAAGTGGACTCCTTGGTCACTTCCGATGACGGAACAGTAATCGGTAGTGGTGTTTGGGCTTGGTTTCCAACCTTGTGATCTTTACCCTTCAATGGAACAGTAGCATTGCGAGGAGGTGGAGGTGTGACTCTACCCTTAGGTCGACATGCAGGGGAATAGGACTCTGATTTTCTCTTTTTTGTTGTTGAGCCGATTCAGAAGCTTCACCATAAGGGATCTGGGTGAGGATTCCAGATCCTACCTAGGTTTTGGAAGCTCCGGAAATGGACTCCATAACAGCTGATGAACTGCTTCCTGTGTTTTGAGCTTAAGATTTTGTTATCTACCTTGATTTGTTGCTTCTTAGGACGACCCCATGACTTCTTTACTTTCTATATTATTATTTTTATAACAATATAGGAATAGTGCTGAATAGGATGTATTAATAATGCTAATATTAGTAAAATTATGATTAATTATGCAGGCATTAGTATGCTGAGAATATTCTTATCCACTATGTGCTTTGGTGTATTAAAGCATGCCTGTTATAAATAGAATTTTATTTATGGTGAATGCCTATATTTAGAGAGATTTTAGGGTTTATTACTTGGTGGCTAAGTCACTCTCTCCCTATAAATAGAGGGTTCTATTCCATTATAATTCATCCCAAAATTCAATAAGAATTTCCTCTCTTTCTCCGCAATATTGCTCTTGTTCTTTTATTATTTTATAACACGTTATCAGCACGAGACTCTACCGTCTCAAGAAGCTTTGAGAAGATTAAGGTATAACTTTTCTCCTCTTTTTAATTATGACTGACATTATGAAAAGAAAGTTCGTTGTCCTTGAAATTTCGGGCAAGGACTATATGACATGGGTGTTGGATGTTGAAATCCATTTAGATGCAATGGGTCTTGGAGACGCCATTAAAGACAAAACTAAAGCATCCACCCAAGACTGTGCTAAGGCCTTGATTTTCTTGCGCTATCACCTTGATGAAGGGTTGAAAATAGAATATCTTACAGTCAAAGATCCACTTTTTTGTGGAATGGCTTAAAGGAAAGATATGACAACTTAAAGTTGGTCACTCTTCCACAAGAACGATATGATTGGGCTCATCTGAGGCTCCAAGACTTTAAGTCTGTTTCTGAATATAATTCTGCGATGTTCAGAATTACTTCTAAATTGAAACTCTGTGGAGATACTATCACTGATTATGATATGCTTGAAAAAACGTTTACAACGTTTCATGCCTCCAATATGGTCCTGCAACAGCAGTACAGAGAGAAAGGTTTCAAGAAGTACTTTGAGTTGATTTCTCTTCTCCTTGTGGCTGAACGAAACAACGATTTGCTCATGAGAAATCACGAAAATCGACCCACTGGGTCTACACCATTGCCTGAAGTGGATGAGGTGTATTCTCATTATGCTAAGCGTGGAAAAGGCCGTGACTCTATTCGTGGTCGTGGTCGTGGTCGTGGTCGTGGCCGTAGACAAGGAAGAAATTTTTCTGGTGTTAATCATCCCCCAAAGAGAAATAACCACCAAAAGTGGAAAGTGAAAGATGAGAAGCCAAAAGCAAATGGTTCAGAAATCGAATGTTATCGTTGCGGTGGAAAAAGGCATTTGGCAAATATTTGTCGTGTTACCAAGACATTTTGTTGATCTTTATCAAGCATCTCTAAAGAATAAAGGCCCTGAAGCCAATTTTGTCTCTGACAATGATCTTGATATCACCCACTTGGATGTGGCAGACTTCTTTGAGCACCCTAATGGAAAAATAGACCACCTGATCGGTGATGGATCCGTGGTTAAAGATGATTGAATAGTTTGATTTTTTTTTTGCGTATTCGTAGTAGCTAATAAACATCATGTAATCACGGTTCTTTACATGAGTAGTCATTAGTATCAATCAGTATTATTTATTTATGAAATCGTGTTAGTTCTTTTTGATTAAATATATTTCTGGTGTTTGTTTTAAACAATGTGTTAGTTCGTCTTCTTCGTCATGCGAATCTTCATCTTACATTAGGCAACTAAAATTACAGTGAGGAACTTCTGTAATTTTATTCATGGGGATTGTAAAAAGATACAAGACTAATATTCCCAAAAAGTTAATTCTTTTGTGAGATGCAAAGCCGACGAAGGGGTGTTTAATTAGAATTGGAGGCCGTGTTTTCTGCGTTTAAAATATTTCTTATGATACCTTTACATGAGATTAACATTTATAACGTAGCTAGTGCATAGGAACCCCGAACCTCCTGAGACAATGTTCTCATCTAATAAGTCAAAAGTATAATAAGATGCCTTCGTTCTTTTACCATTATAATGCTTAGTTGCACTACTAAACAAGTTTGATACTAGTTATGATTTACGATATTTGTTTTCAAAAGGTGTTGATTTTTTTTCTTTTCAGTTTTTCAAAAAGCTTTTTAGCTAAGCACTAGTAGAGCAGTAGTAACACTCTAGTACTTAATACAACAAATCAAAGTATTTCGTTGAATTTATGGCCCATGCGTCACATTTTGTTTATTTTTGTATTCATTATTTCAACTTTTCTCTTCCCGTGTAGCAACTGTTTTGGAATATCTATATCTCTAATAATAAAATAATTTTTTTTATGTCAAACCATGGGAAGCAAATATGAATATCTCACGAAACAAAATTGGATCAAAGTTTAATTGTAAAAATATTTGTTTAGTTGATTCATGTACAACACATACAATATTCAAAAAGAAGAAATATTTCTCTCATTTAAGTATGTGTAAGGCAGATGTTACTACATATTCTGGTAGTAGTAAATTAATTGAAGGCTCTGGAAGAGCTACTATAACTCTGCCTAAGGGAACAATACTTATCATAGAGAATGCAATGTTCTCCTCCAAGTCCAAAAGGAACTTGTTGAGTTTTAGAGATATCCGCCGAAATGGATATCATATTGAGACAATAGATGAGAATAATCTTGAATATCTCATCATTACCAAAAATGTCTCTGGCCCAAAAGAGGGTTATTGAGAAGTTCCCATCTTTATCTTGTGGCCTGTATTGGACAAGAATTAGTACAATTGAGGCACATTCTATCGTAAACCAAAAGGTTACTGATTCCAATACTTTTGTACTTTGGCATGATCGATTGGGACACCCTGGATCAATTATGATGAGACGAATTATAGAAAACTCAAATGGGAATCCATTAAAGAATTTAAAGATTCTTTTAAATAATAAATTTTCTTGCACTTCTTGTTATCAAGGCAAGTTAATTATAAGACCATCACCAACAAAGGTTGGGATTGAGTCCCCTGCGTTTTTAGAACGTATACAAGGGGACATTTGTGGACCTATTCACCCACCTAGTGGGTTGTTTAGATATTTTATGGTCTTAATAGACGCATCTTCTAGATGGTCTCATGTGTACCTATTGTCATCTTGCAACCTCGCGTTTGCAAAGTTAATGGCACAAATAATTCGATTACGGGCAAAATTTCCCGAGAATCCAGTTAAGTCTATTAGACTTGATAATGCTGCTGAGTTTTCATCCCAAGCATTTAATGATTATTGCTTATCAATTGGGATAAAAGTGGAACATCATGTAGCTCGTGTTCACACTCAAAATGGTCTTGAAGAGTCTTTAATTAAACGTCTGCAATTGATAGCAAGACCGTTACTCATGAAAACGAGGCTTCCCACTTCTGTTTGAGGTCACGCCATTTTGCATGCAGCAATGCTAGTTTGTCTCAGACCGAAAAATTATCATAAATATTCCCCGTTGCAATTAGTTTTGGGTCACGAACCTAATATATCCCATTTAAAAATTTTTGGATGCGCAGTATATGTGCCTGTAGCACCGCCATATCGCACCAAAATGGGTCCCCTAAGAAGGTTAGGAATATATGTTGGGTTTGAATCGCCCTCCATTATTCGCTACCTCGAAACATTAACGAGAGATTTGTTCACTGCACGATTTGCAGACTGTCGATTCAATGAGACACTTTTTCCAAAATTAGGGGGAGAAAATGGTGAAACCAAACGGGAAATTTTGTGGAAAAATTCATCATTGTCTCATCTTGATCCATGTGCCTCTATTTGTGAAAAAGAGGTGCAAAAGATTATTCATTTGAAGAGAATAACAAATCAAATGCCAGATGCATTTACGGATATGAAAAGGATAACAAAATCACATATACCTGCAGAGAATGTTCCAACCCGTATTGATGTCCCTATTGGACAATCTTCTAGTGTCATAGCTAATGAGTCAAAAGCACGCCTAAAACGTGGCAGACCATTAGGTCCCAAAGATAAAAATCCTAGAAAAAGGAAAACAAATGATCAAAATGACACTGCGAAAGAATCTCATGAAGAAATCCACGATTTAATAAATTTTGAGATTCATGAGGAATCCACTGAGCCCGAGACTCAAGAAAATAAGGAACTATCAATAAATCCAATCGATATTGAGACAAATTTGAATCGAGTGGATATAGTGGTGGATTATGTCTTTGCATATAATGTTGCATCTAGCATTATGAAAGAAAGTGAGGATCTTGAACCTCAATCTGTTGGAGAATGTCGACAAAGACTTGATTGGCCAAAATGGCAAGAAGCAATCCAATCAGAGTTGAATTCACTTGCAAAACGTGAAGTTTTTGGGCCTGCAGTCCAAATACCTAATGGTGTTAAGCCCGTTGGCTATAAATTGGTCTTTGTACGCAAGAGAAATGAGAAAAATGAGGTACAAAGATATAAGGCACGCCTTGTTGCACAAGGATTTTCACAAAGGCCTGGTGTCGATTATGAAGAGACATATTCACCCGTTATGGATGCTATAATGTTCCATAATCTCATTAGTTTTGCTGTCCATGAAAACTTAACATGCATTTAGTGGATGTGGTTACCGCCTACCTTTATGGCTCACTTGATAATGAAATATACATGAAAATTCTCGAGGGATTCAAAATGCCTAAAGCAAATAATTTAAAGTCCCGGGAATGTTTTCAATCAAATTGCAAAGATCGTTGTATGGTCTAAAGTAATCTGGACGAATGTGGTATAATCGTCTTAGTGAGTATTTATTAAAGGAAGGCTATATAAATGATGCCATTTGCCCATGTGTTTTTATAAAGAAAACAACATCGGAATTTGTTGTACTTGCCGTATATGTTGATGACATAAGCCTTATTGGAACTCCTATAGAACTCCAAAAGACAATTGATTATTTAAAGAAGGAATTTGAGATGAAAGATCTCGGAAAGACAAAATTATGTCTTGGTTTGCAAATTGAACATTTGGCAAACGGAATTTTTGTTCATCAATCTGCCTACATAGAAAAGGTATTGAAACGGTTTTACATGGATGAAGCGCATCCATTAAGTACTCCGATGGTTATTCGGTCACTTGATGTGAATAAGGATCCATTCCGACCTCAAGAAAAGAATGAAGAGCTACTTGGTCCTAAAGTACCATATCTTAGTGCAATTGGTGCAC